GCCCCCTCCCTTGCCAAGTACTTTTGTGGATACTTTTATCCTAATTGCACCACCCCCATGAAATTTTAATAGCATGCATATACTGTGTATCTGTTTATATACTGTGGGCTTTTGGAGGATCACCAGCCATTGGGATATCTAAGATTTTTTCACGTCCAAGAGCCAAGTTTTTTTCTCCTTGGGGATGATCATGGCCCTCATGAGAATGCATGCTGTAGAGGACTCCCCGACAATTACAGACCTCACATCAAGGTCCCTATGGCTTCAGGTGGGTTTGGCCAGTGGAGAGCTCCAAAGGAGATGGGGATGGGGCAGAGGGGCGGGGAGGAGAGTAACACGAGCATACATATTCATCTGGCTCCCTCCTTGTGAGGTCACGCCGCCTGGCTGTGTCCTTGGTCACTTGACTCCTTCTAGGTTCTCTGGGTTCTGGTAACAGATTATATTCCCTCCCCTTGGGAGGGGTTGGTAATAGCTGTACTGCTGCTAGCCCGAGTTCCAGCCCTATCCCTTGGGGTTCTCCTGTACCTACACATTTATAAATCTCTCTCTCCTATTCCTGTTGGGACCCTGAATGACAGATGGGGGACGTCTTATCACTGTGCCTCAGGAGAACACCCTGGAGCGGGGAGGAGGCCAGCAGAGGGTAGGTGAGTGATGGAGGGTGGGGGGCCAGGTAGGATGGGGCAGGAGGACAAGGGATTAGAGTCCTAAAAAAGGAGGCTGAGATGGGCCTTGTTTTAATTTGCGGAATGGGGTGAGACAATGAACTCCCTGGACATGGTCACTGGGGATCCTCTAGAACTTGAGAAGTTATTTTAAGAAATAATGTGGTCAGTCTTCTTCCCACAGTTGGGACTTATATAGCACTTTCTCCACCTGATGGTGTAGCGTTGGCCTGGATTCACAAAGAAGTTACCGGGGGAGGGGCGCCTGGGTGGCTCAGTCGTTAAGCGTCTGCCTTCGGCTCAGGTCATGATATCGGGGTCCTGGGATCGAGCCCCACATTGGGCTCCCTGCTCAGCGGGAAGCCTGCTTCTCCCTCTCCCACTCCCCTGCTTGTGTTCCCTCTCTCCCTATGTCTCTGTCTGTCGAATAAATAAATAAAATCTTAAAAAAAAAAAAAAAGGACTTATGGGGGAAATAAAAGTCCTGCATGATAGACCTCAAAGGCGTCCTGAAAAAAGGTCAAGCTCTTTGGGGGACATCCTCACCCTTATGGGATGAGCCAGAGAGACAGACCTGGTCTCCTTAAATTGCCTTTTGGGTTTTCTATCAAAGGCAGGTGGGGGTCTGGGAATTCTTCCTAAGGGGCGTGCAGGTCTGAGACATCACTGATCTGGGTGCCGGGGGACGCTGTGCTCCCACGTGAGACAGTGGGGAGAGGTGAAGAAACACAGGCTTTCGGAGGCTAACATCCTGGCTCTTCACCTTCTAGGCCATCCACCGTTTCAGAGCCGCCGTGGGGATTAAATGAGAAAGTAAGGGCACATAAAGGCAGCCCGGCCCTCTTCCTAGCCGACTGAGTAGTCGCATGCTCCGAGTCTACCAAGCCTTTTGCTGGCTCTGTCCCTGGGAGTAGGGGGTGACCGAGCTTTACATGCTTTGGGCTCCAGAAGCCAGAGAGTGAAAGCAAGAAGCCGTTGTCATGGATGGCGGGCGGGTGGGCACATTATCCTGAGGCCTCCTAATCCCATTTTCTGCTTTCATGTTAATCCTCTTCCTCCTGTCTGCCACACACTCAACTCGCAGGGCACTGACCCGGAGAGCCCCGCTCCACCTCCTCCCCGCGATGGCAGTGCTCCCCGTTGGGGGCGCTGGAGGTGGGGTGTGGGGACAGTCTGGCTGTGCCTCGGTTCTCCCCAGCCCACCTGGGTAGTCTTCCAGGCCAGGTCCCAGGTGAACCCTGAGGGCTCAGCTCACTCATAGCAACGACACATCAACCAGTATTTCCTAAACACGTACTGTTTGCTGATACTGGCTAAGACCCTTACTTACATAATTTCATTTGGTCCCTGTAACACTGCTGTGAAGCAGATATTATTTATCTGAAATTTGCAGACGAGGAGACGGAGGCTCAGGGAGTTGTCACAGCCCAGATGACACAGAGAGCAAAACGCAGGATGGGCCAAAATTCCTCCAGAGTCTCTTGGGGGACCAGTGGCAATGTGAGCCCTCTCATGTTGCTTCCTACTTCCCCAGCGCTGGAAAGGACCCACCTCTGGCTTCCCTCCTCTGGGACTGTCACCCAAGGCTTCAGTTAGGTGAATGTATTTCTCCCATGCATGAGGCCCCGGGTATCATTCCACTCCACTGCGCAGCGGAGCGGAAAGAACATAGACTTTGGGGAAAGCGGGTGTGGTTCTGGCTTCCGCAGGAAGGGGACAAGATGTACCCAGGAACTGAACGTTTTCCAGGGAGACAGGTGGCTACATGGTGAACTGCCATCTGGGGGGAGGGGTGATTTTGCCTCAGGCTTTTTACTCACTCTCCCTTTCCTTTCAGGGCACTCTGTCACCTCTCTGTTCCTAGCTGCGAATGCCCTTTATTCTGCAGGGCTGAACCTGGCCATTTTTCCTCCCAGGTATCTAGGTTCTGAGGCAAGGCTCGCTCGCTGAGGAAGAAGCAATCTACTATCGCCTCAGCCGCCTGTACCTGAGTCTTTCTTAAAAAGTTTAATGTGCTCTGGACCTCCATTTAATTTATTTTTTTATTTAGATTTTATTTATTTATATATTTATATATTAAAGGTTTTATTTGTTCATTCGAGACACAGATACAGAGAGAGAGAGAGAGAGCATGAGCAGGGGGAGGGGCAGAGGGAGAGGGAGAAGCAGGCTCCCCACCGAGCGAGGAGCCGGATGCGGGGCTCGATCCCAGGACTCTGGGATCATGACCTGAGCCAAAGGCAGACGCTTAACTATCTGAGCCACCCAGGCGCCCCTAGATTTTATTTATTTATTTGAGAGCAAGAAAGCATGGGCGGGGGCCGGTGCAGAGGGAGAGGGAGAAGCAGGCTCCCTGCTGAGCAGGGAGACCAATGTGGGGCTCAATCCTAGGACACTAGGATCATGACCTGAGCCAAAGGCAGACACTTAACTGACTGAGCCACCCAGGTGCCCCTGGACCTCCATTTTAGTTTGTCATCCACTCCAAGTAAGCAAGGGCTCCCTACGTCTCACTTAGATTGCTGTGATTCTCCCCTCTGGGACAGGCTTGGAAGTTACGGTGGGATTTGAATGCTTACTGAATCCCTTAGCAGCTGTCATCTAGGCTTCAGTTTTCAGGTCCATAAAATTGGAATGATAATTGTACCTTGCTGAGGCCAGCGCCTGCCCCTCTCCTCGGGCCACTTCTAGAAACTTCTAGAGCCTAGAAGGCAGTTCTGGGTTCATCTTCAGCCTTCTCTTTCCTCGCTGAGCCACACACTTCCTGGGCCCTATGGGCCTGTCTGCTGACTGTAATCAGGGTCTTTGTTTCCCTCTGGGCTACATAGACCCTGCAGACTTCCCTGCCCCAGTCCCACGACACCTCCTTGGTCTCAGCATAGTGATGTGGATCCTCCTGTCCTCAAATCCCATGTGCTGGTCTGCCGCTGGAGAATAACAGAGGGCAGGGGAAATCTAACACTGGACGGCATGGGGCAGGCTACACGTGTTGTAGTGCGTGAATTCAGCTGAGGAAAGGGGTCTGGAGATCTCAAGAAAGCAGAGGTCCTCCGTGGAAGGGTGGGACCTGAGGGGGGTGAGCACGGCTGGGATCTGACTTGGTTGAGCCATGGTATGAGTTGCTGTGGGGGCTCTGACCTTCCCACAGTCACCAAATCCAGGAAGCCAAAGGCGAGATGTGGCACGTGTGGGCCAGGCATGGTGGTAGGGAGGTGCAACTTTGAGCGTCTGAGCAGCATCCATGATTAGGATTCCAGAACTGAGATTGCCTCCTCAATCCCTTAGAACCACAGGGACATCTTGGGCATGAGAACTTACAACAACCACGTCTGTTGAGGAGAAATCGGGTTCTGAGTTAAAGTTTGGTTATACTTTTTAAAGCCCTTAAAGGTTTGTGTGCTTTGAAAATATTCTAGAAGCAGAATGAGTGTACAGGAGAGAAGATGCAGGATTTCAAGTTAGAAGATGTGTATCAGATATGTTGGGCTCCTTCTGGCCTCAGTGTGATTGATTGTGAACCCTTAGGTCCTCACTTTCCCCTCTGGGTTTCCACACACTTGGGCCTTTCCTTGCTAGAGCCTCCCTCCTTTTTTTTTTTTTTTTTTAAGATTTTATTTATTTATTTGACAGAGAGAGACACAGCGAGAGAGGGAACACAAGCAGGGGGAGTGGGAGAGGGAGAAGCAGGCTCCACGCAGAGCAGGGAGCCCGATGCGGGACTCGATCCCAGGACCCTGGGATCATGACCTGAGCCGAAGGCAGTCGCTTAACCGACTGAGCCACCCAGGCGCCCTAGACCCTCCCTCCTAAAGCCCAGGTAGAGGGGGCTGGTCTTTCTGTAGACCTTCCTTTCTCCCCTCTTTCCATATATTTTATGCTCAGAGAAAAGCTCAGGAAGATGATGACCAGGCCCAACCCCGAACGGGACAAAGCTGACCTGACTACAGGTTGCTCAGAGCCCCGCAACCTGACTGTGGCTGACATCCCACCCTTAGGACACCAGTCCTTTAGGTAAAAGCTCTGTATATAAAGAACTGGTGTGTGTGAAAGCGTGAACGTCCCTAGGGGAGGAAGTCCCTCCTGTCTTTTGTCCGGACACGGATGTGGAGGGCCATGGAGGGAGGTGGGCGCCATGGGAGCAGGGCCTGCAAACACATTTTGCCAACTTCAGTGTTTGCCACAGAGATTTCACTCCTCCAAAGGTCATCCCCCATGACCTCTCCTGCCCCCACTTCCCCAAACAAACACCAAAGACATTAAATGAGGACAAGTCAGCCCAAGAAACTGTGGCTTTGGGAAGAGTCCTTGCCGTGAAACGTCATTTATTAATTGATTGACTTTTTTTTTTTTTTTTTTACAAAAATAAACATTTTAATGAACAAGAAGTACAAAAGCTTCTGGATATACAAACTCCAGGAGGGGGGAGAGGCTGGTTTTGGCTGCTTTGCGGCTTTCACTGAAAGCAAATGAGGCAGAAAGACCCCGGCCCCACCCCCACCCCAGGTCCTGGCTCAAACTGCAACCTGCTCCTTGACCCCATGTCTTGGCTCATACCTTGTGGGCTCCTCTGTCCCTGCCTCTGCGCTGGCCTGTGGGTGCCCCCGGTTGGGTGGCCAGAGGTGGCCTCCCCGGGTACAGAATCCCCCACATCCCAGAGCATCCCCGTCAAGTCTTCTGTCCGGAGTTGAGCTGAGAGAACACTCCGTGACTGATTGTCCCCACGCAGCCCCCACCAGATGGTGACATGCAGCAGCAGCAGCAGGGGCTCTGGCTACATTCTTACACCATGAACACAGTGATGGGGCTGCCCACAGAACTGTCCCAGCGAGGGCCAGAGCCCCCCCAGGGGATACCAGCCTGAGCCTTGCTGGCTGCCCAGAGGCTTGGGAAGGCAGTCCGCCCCCCTGCCCCGCTCCCGTGATTCCTGGCCCCGGGGCCAGCAGTCCCATACCTAGACCGGTAAACTCACATTTTAACATTTGGCATTATTGCACGTTGTCCTGGTCACCTCACCGTCTGGGATGTCAGCCTCGTCTGCAGGGGTTTCCAGGTGACATGCAGTGTTGCTAGTGCAAGTCCATCCCTCCCTCCCTCCACCGGCGAGCCCAGCTGGCGGGGCTGGTCCGCTGTCAGCTGAGCCCCCCGAGAGGTCAGCCCAAGGCCCTCACATATGTCGTCTTGTTGGGATCAGGGACCACGTGGCTCCATCCTGTCTTGAAAAATACCAGCTGCCGACCTGGAGGCAGAGGTGAGAGATAACGGGACTGTTTCTCTCCCTGGAGGCGGGGCCACTCTCCCCGATGGGACTGCCTAGAGGACGCGTAGACTTGTCTCTCATCATCTCGGCCTTCTTGTCTTTTCATCAAAGCTGGCTTCTGACGGGGGACCACTACCTGTCAGTCTCTTCCAGGGAATGCCAGTCACCTCCCTCAGGACGTCCTTTCCCTTCCCACTGGCTCACCTGTCCAGGTGGTCTGGTTGGTGACCACAAAGGCCTGGCACTGGGCATGGCTCTCGCAGATGTCCACGGCCTCAGCCAGGTTGAACACCGAGAGGAGGCAGCTCCCGTGGTGGTAGGAGGGCCAGCAGCGGTAGTCTTCCTGGGGGATGGCGCTGTCTGGGAGGCGCTGGTACTCTGTGGGGTTGGGGATGGAGCTCGAATGAGAACTCTGTGTTTCCAGGCAGGAGGGCTGGGGCCGCTTCCTGGAAAGGGCTAAGACTCATTTCCTAACTGAAAGCTGAAAGCTAGCCCAGTCACCCTCGCATGGGGATGAAGGCAGCTACTGCTGTGGAACTGGGCTGAGCACCCAGTAAAGGCAAAGCTCAGGTTCGGTTTTTGGGAGACCCACAGCTCCCAAATCTGAGGGTGCACAGTGGGTTCGGACAGCACCTGACAGCGGGTGCATCGTGGGATAAATGCACACGCAGAGCTTGAGGTCGGGACATTTTGGACATTTAAAGCTGGGCTTCTCAAACTTCAGTGTGCCTGTGAATCTCCAGGGACTCTTGCTAAAATGCAGATCCCGATTTAGGGGGTCAGGGGTGGGGTTTGGGGGTGGGCATTTCTAACCAGCTTCTGGTGCTGCTGGTCTGCAGACCACACTTTGAGTAGCAAGAGTTTAGAGCACCCCTGGGTCCTGCTTCCTTTGGGCCTTAGGGAGAGAGATGAGGCAAGCTCCTCAGGGAGGGAGCAGTTGGGGATTTCTGAAGTTACGAGGAATGCAAATGAATGTGAAACACAAAAATGACCATTGGGGAATCCACAGCTCTGGTGTCTGGGGGAGGAAGCTGGAGGAAAAATCTTCCCATTATACAGAAAGAGCCCCCAGAGGCTCTGCGAGCTCCTCAATCAGGAAGCTGCTCGTTCACCTGAGTCCTTCCTGCTGCCTGGGGAGCCCCAGCTCCGGACTGATAATGCAGAAGCCCTGGGCCTCTGGCCACCCCGCCCTCCTGCCTCCTTCTTCTACCAGGGACTAGACCAAAGTCCAGGGCTGGCTGTGATTTATGGCCCCATAAACGGCGTCCTCAGGGACAGAGCCAGCCATTGTTCACCTCGTTAAACTTTATTTACAGGGCTAACGAGGGCTCCCCCACCCCTAAGACTGGCCAGAGCTCCTTGAATACAGAGGCTGCCCACTCCTGGCCCCCCTGCCAGCCATGATAAACCCCAGGGCCTCAGCAGAACGACGACGGCTGGGGGCTGCAATTCTCCCCGTGCTCCTGGGCTTCTTGGCTGGTTTCGGTGTGGAATCGCAGCCTCCTCCAGCCTCCCTCCTAGCCCCAGAAGGGCAGAGGAAGGAAAGAGGAGCCAACATATATTCTGTAATACAACTGTGTAACAGGAAGCAAGTTAATTGCTCGCACACACTTCGCCTAGCATTGAATCCCCATAAGCATTTTGTGAGGCAGGAAATATTAAACCCAGTTCACAGGAGAGAAAAATGAGGCTCAAGGTGTAGGGAAGCTGCTCAAAGTCACACAGTCAATACAGAGTGGGGTCTGGAGCTACCCAGAGAAGGGGTGTCGATGCCTGCCCCGCCCCCTGGCCCCCTGCCCCGAGGTCAAGGCAGAATTATAGTCATTCTGGCTCAGCCAGAGAGAAGACCTCCAAGTAGAGGCTAAACAGTCAGTGGTCTCTTCAAGTGTGCCTTAGGAGGATGAGCCGCTTAGCGCGATTAAGGGGACCACTCACCCTCCCCCCTGCTCCCGAGCTCCTGGAGCCCCTGGAGCCCTGCGGGAGCCACTCACCGGCTCTGCTGCCTGCTGAGCTGTTCTGCAGATACTGCCCGCTCCGGAACAGGTGCAGCACTCTCTCCAGCCGGGCCAGAGTCTCGTCTACTCCCCAGCTGAGCTCTCCTGCGGAGTGCAGTGTGGCTAGGAGAGGGTGCCCGCGCTCCTACCCCTCCCCGCGGTCTGCAACCTGCTGCCTTTCCCTCTCTTCCCCTGGAACCTGGGCCCGGGTGACCAGTGGACTGGGAAGGGGGTTTGCCATGGAATGCCACTTTGGGAAACGCCATACTGTGCTGTCCTGGGGCATTTTCGACCCCATGCCTGCTGGGGGACGGTGATGGGAAGCAGACGGCGCCTGGAGAGCTCACCCGTGGCGTTGACAATGCTGTCCAGCAGAGGCCGCAGTGCGGGTGGGGCACTGTGGGGCAGGAGGTATGTGAAGAAAAACCTGGGGCAGAGAGAAACCAGGGGCTCAGTGGTCCGGCCTTGGGGACACATCCTTCCTCTGCCCCAACTTGGGACAGAACCTTAATCTGGCCAGGGAGCCTGATCCCTCAGGCCTACCACCCAGGCATAACCCCAGAGCGAATGAAGGAGTCCACTACTCAGGACTCAGGGTAGGGATCAGGACACATGCTAAGGCCACACCTTAACTTTATACCACGCTGCAATCTGAGGTCTCTTTTCCCCATCCGTCCCCAGGACTCCGCCACCACCCAGTGCCACCTTATCCCCTGAGCTGATCACTGTGACAGCAGCCCCATAGCTGAGGCCCAGTGAGGAGCTTCCAAGACTGAAGGACCAGGGGACGAAGGGGTAGTGCCAGTCCCACCAGCCCTAGGCTCTGAATCTGACACTATTTTAAGAAGCCTCCAGCTGCCACCCCCCACCCCAGATTCTCCTTGGAGATGACTATTTTTAGCCTCATCGCCGGGAGCCTGAATGTTCCCTTCTTGAGTGGGTAGAAGACCTTCCCCACCCCTGCTCCTCCATTGATCAAGGTGGAGTCTCCCCACCCTGGCTGGCCTCCTGGACCCCATGTGGGCTCTCCCCTTGCCATGCCCTCCCTGGCTCACTCTTCCTCCCCAGCCTTCCTGGGGGGGTGGGGGGTTGGAGGTCACCTGTAGGCATTGTAGAGGTTGCGCTTCTCATTCATGCCCTCACACCAGCCCTGGGCCGAGCAGGGCAGGCTGAAGTTCCTGGCCGGAAACTCCAGGATGCAGTCAGCACTGCTTGCACACGGCGTCTCCTCCACGCGTGCGTCGTCCAGATCTGTCACCTTCAGCTCTCCATCCACCAGCACGAACTGTCGGGGGCGGAAGTCCAGCAGAGTGACCGAGCCCAGTGGGGAGTGGGCCAGGTGGTGAAGGAGCCGGCCCAGGCTCAGGCAGATCTGAGGGGCAGACACAAGGCTGCTCATAGGCTTCTCTCCTGGGAGGGGGGCCTGGGAGACTCCAGGGCTCACCCCTTTGGGGCGGGGGGGGGTTTGGCTTTTCTCTTAAAGGCTCCAGTGCTTACTAAGGGCTGAGGGCCAGGGGCCTTACAGAGCAAGCCAGTGATTTTCTAGTAACCCTGGGCTGACCTGACCCTGAAAGTAACATGGAGTCGCTGGGAAATAGGCCGCATGGAAGTCTGCAGATACCGGCTCTCCTCCTTGAAGTTGCATCTTGAGTGTGGTTTTAGTCCGGTGCGTGGAAATGGAGGGTCAAGATGACTTTAAGGTCTTTTCTAGTCCTAGGACACTGGCCCTCTGGCAGCCAGGCTACACGGGCGTGCATGCACGTGTGTGTGTGTGTGTGTGTGTGTGTGTGTGTAAGGAGCACAAAAACGTCAGGATCTTCTATGTCTTGCTTCTTTTTTTAACCCTTTGGCTGACAGCTGAGTCAGTTTTGCTCCATCTTTCCCTCCTTTTTCTGACTGAGAAGGAGTCCAAGCTGCTCTGGAGGGCTGGCCTTCTAAGGGAAAACCATCCCAGCAAGGAGCCCAGGGCCCAGCCCTCTGCCCTGCTCACTCGGAAGCGGTCCTCCCAGGAAGTCTGCAGGAGCTGGATCATCTCCACAGGGGCACCCAGCTCTGTGATGGTGGTCAGGGTGTCCGGGATGTCCTCGCTGTCCTGGTAGCAGTAGCCATAGAGCTGGGGGAGGCCCAGGGCAGGTCATTAGGTCACAGGGTCGGAGTGGGGACAGAGAAGGGCTGGGCTGTCAGAGGCCCCCCTCCCTCTGCACTACGCACCTCCCACCCTGATCCCTAGGCTGTTGCTTCAGCTCAGGCCAGAAGAGAACAGCAGCATGGCCCGGGGAAGCCTGCCCTCTGTCCCCGCAGCCAGAGCTCCTGCTGGCGACTTCAGCCTCCTACCTCCTGCTGCTCAGGTAAATGGGCAGGTCTGGACACCACGTGTCAGCCATGTGCCAGGCACTGTGCTAAGTGTTCTACATGCATAACTTGATTCTTATAATCTCCAATTTACAGGTGAGGAAACTAACTCAGAGAAGTTAAGTTACTTGCGTAACATCACACAGCTAATGCAGGAGCTAGCATTCATATTTATGTCACTTGGATTCCACAGCCTGGTTCTTTCTACGAATACCGTTTGTTAATCAACAAGCCAGCAAATGGGTATTCTACCTCCTCTCCTGCTCCAGTCCTCGATTCCTTTTTTTTAAGATTTTATTTATTTATTTGTCAGAGAGACAGAGAGAGAGAGAGAGTGAGCACAAGCAGGGGGAGCGGCAGGCAGAGGGAGAAGCAGGCTCCCCGATGAGCAAGGACCCTGATGCAGGGCTCGATCCCAGGACCCTGGGATCAGGATCTGAACCGAAGGCAAACGATTAACCGACTGAGCCACTCAGGCGTCCCGGGCTTCTATTCCTTATCATTTCTACTTTCTGGCAACTTCATTTTTTCTCAGCTCTGGTCTTGTGGGCGGAAAAACAAGCTCCCTCGGACTGGTAACAAGCATTTATAAGAACAAAGCATCCAAGGGGCACAACCTTGGGTGTTCTTTGCATATGTTGGTGGTGGGGGTGGTCACACCCACCAATGGGATTAGTAGTAAGGGATGGTTTCTGCGGAAGATCAGTTCTTTGGGGGCATGCTCACAAGGGCCTGCCCACTCCACAGGACCTGAGGATGGGCTCGGTACAGCTCATCTAGTCAGGGACTTCTGGGAAGCACAGCCTGACTTTGTCATTAACACCTAAACCAGCATCCAGAGAGAGAGCCCTGCTTCCTCCAGCCTCCCCCACCACACTGCCCATCAGCCAGGGATCAGATGAGGCTCAAAACAACCAGCACCCTGTGGGGTAGAAACACAAAGGCTGAGTTGTCCAGACCACAGTAGGGAGAGGGGAGAGCTGCACAATGTGGGGGCTGGGGGGAGGGTGGGGTTGCAGAGCAGGGGGGAGCCAAGCCCACAGGTTAGATGTCCCTGCATACTGTCACCCTTCTTACCATCATTCACACCCCTCCCAGATCCACTCCAGGCCCTCACGTGCCCTCTTCCGTCCCAGGAGTGCCCTTTCAGCTCCCCCTTCCTGGAGCCAGCTGCCCCAAGCCTGCCGGCATGAGAGAAGGCACGGCTCAGGGCCGCCATTAGATCAGCAGGGCTGCAAACCAGGGATCAGGGGACAGTCCCAGGCACCCTCTTCTTCCCTCTCTCTCTCTCTGCTCCCCCACCTCGCATTAGCCCAGGGAGGCCCCAGGCCCCGGTGGGGCGGGGGTGGGGGGTGGGGGGGAAGGTAAGGGGAGCAGCCCTGGGGCCTGGTTCTCATTTTCTTGCCCAGAGTCTGAGCCTTTGTGGGAAACTTCTGAAGGTTATTAAACACCCGGAGGTCGTTAAATGCGCTGTTAACGAGGTATTAATCAACACCCCTCAGGAAAAAATAAAAAGACACCATTAACCCCCCCAGGAAGCGTGAGGCTGAGCATTTCAGTCGCATCTTTTGTTCGTTTGGGAGAAGAAATATACTCTAGCAGGGCCAGAATCTGGGCCCAAGCAGGCTGGGGCCCCATCTGAGGCCTGAGATCCTGGAACTGTGGAGGTTGGGGGGAGGGAAGACCCTTTTGCCCTTTGACCCTGGGCTATAGAGGCATCTATCACGTGAGAAGTGTGTATGTGTGTGTGTGTGTGTGTGTGTGTGTGTGTGTAGGGGGTGACAGAAGAAAGATAGAGAGATCTCGCCCAGGCAGGTCCCCAGAGACCAGAGAAAGTGCTGGGAGGTGCATGGTGGGACATGCTACCTGGGGCTTTTCTAGTAGAATCCACAGAACCAACTTGGGGGCTACCAGAGATGGGGATGGGGCCTCCGGGTGGCCTGGGGGAGCCGGAACTCTAAGAAACATTCTTTGGCTCCTCCCTGGTTCAGCAGTCAAATGGTTTTGAAATTTTAAATGAGTAAGAGGTATTGAAACATTGCACACCCTCACTGCAGCCTCCTGAGCACCCCCCTGTACCCCACAGCGGGCTTCCGTGGCAGCAGAGGTGGCCCTGAGGAAGAGGCCAGAGGGACTCTGGCTGGCGGTCACCCCAAAACAGTTCCTAAACTCAAACTCAGGGACCCTTTCTTCCTCGCTCATGGTAGCTTTTTACCTTTCCCCAGATGGAAAGGGACCCTCCCCACCTTCTAACACTTGGTGCCCTAGGGCAACTACCCCCAGTCTCCGACCCTGTAAAAGTCACACAGCCGACCTCAGACAGACCCAGTCTTGGGTGAAAACTATTCAGCTGTAATATATATGTATTACCTATGTAATATAGATGTATTTTGGGGGGTGCTTTCAGAATCGGGCAGAGGCCTGACATTAAAGCGGAGGACCATTCTGTGAGATGCGTGGGGGCAGTTAGCTAGATGCTGGTCAGGAAGCTTGGGTAGGGTGAGTGAGGGAGGGAGAAATTCCTTAAGAGACAGGAGAGCACATCAAAACCTCAAACCTGTCCTAAGGGAGGTGTGTGTGTGGGGGGGCCTCTTGAATCAATTAACTAACACTTAATGTCCTGCTTCTCCACTGCCTCAGAATCTGGCTGACACCCCAGGGTTGCCAAAAAGTTCCCAAGAGCCCCTGGGAAGCGAAGAGAACAAGATCCTCCCAGTTAGAATGGCCACGTAACCAGTCCCTCACTCCCTGAAGCTCCAGGCCCAGTGTCAGCTGGGCATCCAGGCATGGCTGGTCACAACCGTTGGCTCTGCCCGACCTCCTGCCACCAGTTCAGGGCGTAGGACCTGGTCACAAGTGTCTGACCAGAGTCGGGGGAGCCTGGGGAGACCTGGAGCCAGCAGGAATATAAATAGCCCTCTCGCCTCTCTCTTGTTCCGCAGTACCCACCCAGGCCTGGGGTCTATCTCAGTCCTTACAAGAGGAGGGAGGGACTCCTAGATTTCTCTTCAGTTGTGCTGGGTGCAGAAAGGTTAATTTGAGGGGGCTCGGAGGTGCAAGGTGTGGGCGAGGTTCCTCTGCTGGGGAGTCTGCACACACCCTCTGTTCAGCGGGCCAAGACCAGTCAGGGATTCCCCTCTCAGGCTGCTCAGACATGTGCAAGGGAAGAGTTTGTCTAATCCTAGGGCCGACTCAAGGACAGAGAGCTGGGGGAGAGGAGGAAGTGGGTGTGTTAGGGCAGTGCTGGGGCTGTGAGTGGCCCACTCTCTTAGTCTAGCCCGGAGGGGACAAGGTGGGGTCTCATCTCTCCCCTCTGCTCCTCAGTGAACAGGAGAGACAGAGTCCCATTTAGTAGGAACCTGGGCATCTGGCCTTTTCAGTCTTCCAGCCACTGGCCACATCTGCTCTGATAATGTGACCCTGAGACCCTCAGGCCCGTAGCCTGTCCCCTGAGCACTGAGCTAAGATCCTAAGGCTTCCTTCATGATCCAAGGGCTGTCTTTAAGGCCTGGAGAATGGCGGGGTCACTTCTGGGAAGGGCTGTGCATTTTCTGGCCTACTACCCAATTCCCTCCAGTCCTTCCAGTGGCTTCTGGGTGGGGTAGGGGGTGGGGATATTCTCTGGGAATCAAGCCCAATACAGGGTCTCTTTCTAGCCCTTCCCAACCCCGTTGTTGTCCCATCCGATCTTCAAAGCCTGACAAGCCACTGGACGTTGAGAGAAGTGGGGTTCAGATTCCATCAAGAAAGGGGGCCCTATCACTGCAGTTGGAATCCTGACTCAGGGATGACCTCTGTGTCTTGGCTTGGGGTTATTTCCCTGGTGCTCAACACCCTAGCTCCAGCCAGAAGCAGGGTCCTAAGTCCTAACAGACTCGCACCCCTACCTCGAGTTTTGGGACCCTCCGTCCTGGTCTCTGTCTTCAAAGGATATGGGGTGGAAGCTGAGAGACGCAGGAGTCCCTCCGTAAAGAGACGCCCACTCAGGAGTGAGGGGCAGGGTAGTGTAGTGGGAAGCGGCCGCGGTCGGGGTTCTGCCCCTACTTAACCTGGGCACAGTCTTTATCTCTATGGCCGAGGGTTCTCTTCCAGTCAGAGTGACCGGACCTGGGCACGTCCAGCCAGCACCCTCACCCTCTCACCCCCACCGTCGTACCTGCAACACGTTGGGGTGCCGCAGCCGCTCCAGCAGCACCATCTCCTTGAGCAGCTTGTGGGCCGCCAGCCGGTAGCAGCCCCTCCGAGCCCCGAACTCGCGCACGCAGCTGCCCAGATCGTGGCCGCTGAAGTCCACCGCCTTGAGCGCCACCGCGGCGCCGCCCGGCAGGCGGACCCGGTACACGGCCTTGGTGTAGCCTGAGCCCACGTACTGTGCGCCGGACACGTTGCGGAGCGCGGCGCAGCCCAGGCGCGGGC